TGTATCCGCTATCAACGTAATACTATTCAACCGATTAGGGACATTTATTTCGAAATTTCCATGAGGTTCTTTACGCTTCTTCATTTGAAGCTGGGGGCCATTCACATTAGTGGTGACTAGTCTGTAGTTAAGTTTGTTTAGCTTTCTGTAGTCATGCCGAAAGTGAAAGTAAGTCAGAAAACTAAATTACAGCTGTATCAGCGGGAGTTCGAAGGAGAGATGATAAGTACGGATAACGAAATTCTTTATTTCCGAGCGTGTGAGAAAACAGTTGGTTGTGAAAAACGCTTTCAAGTGCTTCAGAATTTGAATACTAATATACACAAAGAGAACATTAAAATTAAATCCACGAAAAGTGCTCCTGTTCAAAAACTGCTTAGTGAATTTTCTTATAGTAGTTTTTCACAGATTTCTTTTGATTTATGCGAAGCCTTTGTAGCGGCAGATATTCCGCTGTGGAAAGTAACCAGTCCTACTCCGAGAAACTTCATAGAGAAGTATACACAGCGCAAAGTGCCGGATGAATCTACTGTGCGCAAAAATTACGTGAAGCAGTGTTACGATCTTACAGTTGATAGCATTAGAGATAAGATTCAAGATAATTTTGTGTGGGTATCAATCGACGAAACACAAGATTGTGAGGGACGGTTTATTGCAAATTGTATAGTTGGATCCCTTAATAAGAATGAACAATCTACCCCATATCTTCTTGCGGTAGAGCAATTTGAAACCACAAATAGCTGCGCAGTTTCCGAATTTTTTATCAATTCCATGAATTTACTATGGCCGAATGGCATTCAGTATGAGCGCGTATTGCTTTTTGTGACTGATGCCGCAAGTTATGTGATGAAAGCCGGTACTGCTCTTAAAGTTATATTTCCAAATATGAAACATTTGACTTGCCTTGCCCATGGGTTGCACCGTGTTGCAGAAACAATTCGTGCAAATCTTTCGCTTGTTGACAAGATGGTTTCTTCTGTGAAGAAGGTATTTGTTAAAGCGCCATACAGAAAAGAAGCCTTTAAAGCAGTAGCACCGAGCGTTCCACTTCCGCCAGAACCAATTTTAACGCGCTGGGGCACGTGGCTGTGTGCAGCGAGTTATTATACCGAACATTTAGAAACAGTTAGGAATGTCGTGAATACATTTGATCCCAAAAGTGCAGCATCAATTCAAATTGCCCAAGATGTACTAAAAAACGCAGAACTAGAAACTAATCTTTCCTATATATCTGCTCACTTCTCTCATGTTCCATCCGCCATTTCCTCACTGGAGGCAAGCAATAGCAATACTCCTTTGTATCAGTCGTTAAGAGTGTTCAAAACCACTGTTTCCGAATTGAATTCGGTTCCTGGAAGAGTTGGTGAAGTAGTAAAGAAAAAAGTAAACAGCATTCTTTAAAAAAAATCCAGGATATGAACAAGTTTGTGAAATTGAAGAAACTTTAGCCGGTAAACGTACTGATCTGCCAAGTAAAAAATCACTAACAGTGGAGCAAATAGCGGCTTTTGTACATGCGCCCCTAAGTTCCTGTGAGGTGGAAAGAAGTTTTTCCCGCCATAAGGACATCTTACGAGACAATAGGAGGCGACTAACTATGGAAAACCTAAAACATTTAGTAATTGTGAACTGCAACAGAAGAGAAGTTGAAAGTTCGGAGAGCTAAATGTGAGTACCGTTGGTTTTTTAAATTTGTAATGAAATATGTTGGCTCTGTTGCATGATTTGTATTTAAGTATATCTTTTTATTGCAAGTGAATCATTCAGTGATTACATAAAATGAACTTAAATATTGATTTGTTGGTCTTAAAATAATGTAAAATCAATTTTAATATTTGGTATAAATTTTTATGTGCATATTTTAGTGCATATTTCGGAAGTTTTTCATGCTTAAATGCATACATATTTGAGGGAGTATTAGGGCATAAAAATCCGGTCCCTACTCATGAGTATATTATCAGAATGGACACTGTGCACCGAAGCAAAAGAAAACGCTGATTCGTTCATTACTTACTACGTAACTTACGTTCATGCAACTTGTTGACATCCGACAGTTCGTTTCCATGGGAACACGGAATTTCCCTAATTTTAGAGCTTTGATCTCATTATGTTACTTTATATAAATAATAATAGAGCTACAGTGAGTGGAAATCCAACGGGGTGGGTGGAGAAACGAGTAGGAATACAAATTGTTATCAACCCTAGCTGCTGCAGCGTGGAACACGCAGCCCATTCGTCACTGCATGACGTCATTCGTGGGTGCTGACAGTGGATAAGAGTACTTACAGTGAATAACAGACCCTAAAGCAGAACAGTCAGCGATTTCTCTGGCTATAAATAGGTAAACAAAATATCCTGGAATGTAACGCCATGTAGTTTGGTAGGAAATTCATCCTTTTTCCGAGGAATGCAAAGCCTCCATCTTCAGGGCAGGAGAGTAGCCCAAGGAAATTAAAACTTAAAAACCAAGTACCGCATTCTCATTGCTGTTTACTCGGCTTCAGTTTCTGCCCTGTAGACTGAAACATTATGTTCCTGCAAAATGTCATTGAACAGCTACCAGACTGCACGGCTTAACACCCGATATGTTCCTTATAAAACTGTGCTGAGGCAGACTACTGGATTCTACCGGGTGCAAGATATTCACGTTTCATGGATTAAGCCAGATACTAGAAGCGGAGAGGAGAGTTGTACTGACGTGATTGCCGTGATCCCTTGCGTCGCTTGNCAAAAAAAAAAAAAAAAAAAGACTGAAAATAGCAACTGTGAAAGGGGGGGGGAGAAACAACGAATTACGAATGGGCCTAATTGGAATGGCTCTCATGAAGTCATGTATTCACTTCAAACAACGGAATTAATTCGATGTGTATTCCTTTTTAGGCGCGTTCCCAACTGACCCCAGCCCCTATGAAAATTTCTCCGTCCCTCACTCTGGCTGTACGCATGAAAAAAGTCAAGAATGCTGAACAGTTCCTCATAATTTGATATTTTGGGTTTCCTATAAATTTTTCTCCCCTGTTTCGGTTTAAGTTGTTCATGTTTGCGAGTGATGGAACTTCCACGTCTTACCGCGAGGGCATACATATCGATATACGAGGGCATATCGATAAACTGTCTTATAAAAATACGAAATCTTATGCAAGAATACAAAACTTGTCACGTGATAGAGTGACTATAGACACGGTTTCGATTTGTAATCCGATTTATTTGTTTGACTCCTAAACAACTCGTGACTGCACTTTACAGATCACTGCCACACACAGACTAGCGTTCTCAGTCACGATCGTCTTTGTGCTGCTTGGTAGCGGCTTCCAACAGTGGACGTTCCTCTGCTCCCTGACTCACATTCCCGCAGGCTGGCGGTCATCTCACACGAACCTCTTCTCACTGGCCAGTCAGTTCTTCTGGGTGTTTTTTGTTTTTCAACTGAACACTTTTGTAACATCCTATCTTACGAGAGGACAGGTCTGTCGTTTACAATTGCTCCTGATCCTCGCCAGCGCAGTCATTCTGAGGTCCGGGTCCCGCGGGACTCATGAGCATATTTTACTATCTCGTATTCGATACTCCCCCAACTTAGAGGGCAAGATCCCCGTATTTATAACCCTCAGGAACAGGGTGGTCCGGTTGTACCCAGGTCAAAGTGAAAGTCACATTCCGACTGACGGTCAGTCAGTCAGTAAGTCTTGGTGTCGAGCCCCATCTGGGGCTCGTTACCGGATATTTATTACTGTTTGACTGTTACGGTCTTGTTTTGTGGGGCGTCTTCTCTGACGAGAGGACGGGTCTGTCTTTGTATATGCTGCTGACCCTTGCCAGCGCAGTCTTTCTCGGGTTACACAGCTGTTACCCAGCAGTGGCTGTTTCTGTGGCTCCACAGTTGTTGCTTCGAGTGAATATGCTACAGTGTAAACACTGTTACATTGTCATGAAACGGGTGTCCAGGCAGCTCCCATTTATTTTGTTATGTTGCAGATCGAATTAATCTGTTGATGGGCCTGGGCTTATAAAATTTTCTTTCAAATCCTTACTGAATTTCTCTCTTGGTTTCCACGTGATTCTGCCTTTGACCTCGCACAGTTATTATTAATTCTCTCCTGCAAACAAAATGTTATTGTTTTCAGTAAATTAATTAGGAATTTTATGGACACCTGTGGAGCCGGGATAGCGTAATCGGTACTACGACTAGCTACGGGCTGGACGACCAAGGGGTCGCAGTTCTAGTCCCGGTAGAGTCAAGAATTTTCACTTCTTCGCGTCGTCCAGACCGGCTCTGGGGTCCAAGAAACTTTCTGTCCAGTGGATGCCGGGGCGGGGGCTCTTTCCCAGGGATAAAGCGGCCAGGGCGTGAAGCTGACAACTCATCTTCAGCAAGTGCCAAGGTCAAGAAAATGTGGATTTATACATCCACTCCCCCATACGTCTCCGTGGCGTAGTGCTTAATTAGTTAAGCACAGGGACAACTTTACCTTTTTACCTTACGGACACCTATAGGACTTGGGGGAGGGGCTAGCGTGGCGGTAATATTCCAGGCTATTATTCGGGATATACTTATGGGTTGTTTAACGACGGTTCCAGTATGGAGACTGCATAGCGTCGGAGGCTACCGTGACCGATGTATAATGAATTGGAAGGGATCTAGAAGGAAGCGATAATAACGGGGTACATTTTTCCAGCAGTTTCCTGGAGGCCCGTATGCTGGCTGAGAAGTACAGAACTTTAACGAGACTATTTTGTCGGGAGGGACTTGGTTCGAATCTCGGCCGTAACGTCCTGCTAACGTGAGTGAGATATTCCTTGGGTTTCCTCCGTCCACCCAGGCAAATACTGATATGCTACTTCGATAAGGTCATGAACGCATCCTTCCAAATCCTTTCCAATTTATCATCCATATGTCATCGTACCTTTCGACGCTGTGGTCTGGAAGGTTGCCGCTACCTAGTAACTCCGAAACGAAGACATCCGTCAGATGTATTGATTGTTTTGAAGCACCTACTTACCGGGAAGGCTAGAACTGGTCGCGTCTCTCAGAAGAATGATCTGGAAATGAAGACAGGAGTGTCAGATATAAGTCAGCAAGTACAAGAACATCATTAATGCAGTTCTGACCTTTGGCGGCATTGGCGAATATTAAAATTACGATCTTGTTCAGTGTGACGCGGTGATATCTTGTAGATAGGTACCAACGTTTCGGAAGAATTTGCCGCATCCATCTTCAGGGCGGGAAATTGGAGGCCGCATGTTCCTACAAAATGTTGGTATCTACCAAATTAAACGTCGTGATATTCCAGGAGAACATACTAACCAATTAAACAATACGCCATGAAGACGAATGAGGGAGTTGATGTATAGAGCGGATGTGTAAATCGGCCGGGGAGTGAAGCTGATCACTCACCATCAGCTAGTGCCCAGGTCAAAAAATGTGGATGTATACTTATANGAAACGAAGACATCCGTCAGATGTATTGATTGTTTTGAAGCACCTACTTACCGGGAAGGCTAGAACTGGTCGCGTCTCTCAGAAGAATGATCTGGAAATGAAGACAGGAGTGTCAGATATAAGTCAGCAAGTACAAGAACATCATTAATGCAGTTCTGACCTTTGGCGGCATTGGCGAATATTAAAATTACGATCTTGTTCAGTGTGACGCGGTGCTATCTTGTAGATACGTACCAAGGTTTCGGAAGAATTTGCCGCATCTATCTTCAGGGCGGGAAATTGGATNGATGCCTACCCTTTGACCTGTCCAGCAAGGGAGGCCCTGCCAGTAGCTACGCTGCCGCTGGTATAGCTCTCAGGGTCCTTAGCATACTCAAACCCCCTCACCACGATAAGGCGGAGTCACCAACGAGGGGGTATACTTATAAATATAANAAATCGGCCGGGGCGTGAAGCTGATCACTCACCTCCAGCTAGTGCCCAGGTCAAAAAATGTGGATGTATACTTATCAAATTTCAAATTTCAAATGTACTGTAGTATTTTGTTGAATATATTGTAACGTGTTATCTCACGGTCATTGCTGCGCAACGGCCACAATAGGAAGTTAACAGCCTACAATGAGTCTCCACGGTTACGACGAATACACGGAGAGTTCCCACAGCAACAACGCAATAACAGTGGGCCGTTGCCTGGGGCAAACAAGCGCGTTTCCTAGGAGATGAAAAGTAACGAATTGTTCGAAGCGTTGCATGACAACAGAAGGTTCATTGCATAGCAACCGCCGAGGTTATAAAAGCCCAGCTTCGACAAGAGACAAGTTAGGAGTCCCATCCGTGTGGAGGCGGTGTCGAATACCTCCACCATGACCCTGCGAGTCGTAGGAGGCGACGAAAAGGGAAGTCTCAAATCTGAGACAGTAAAATATGGTCGCGAGTCCCAAGGGACTCGGACCCGAGAAAGAATGCGCTGGCAAAGGCCAGCAGCATATACAAAAGACAGATCCGTCTTCTCGTCAGAGAGGGCGCCCCACAGAAACAAGACCGTAACTGTCAAACGGTAATAATTAATATTTGATCATGAGCCCCAGATGGGGCTGGACACCAAGACTTACTGACTGACTGACACCGTCAGTCGCAATGTGATTTTGACTTTGACTTTGACTTGAGACAAGTTAGTTGAAATATAGCATCCGCCGGAGTAACAGTGAAGTTTCAGCACCCTCTGGAGTCAGTTGGCCAGTTCTTAGTGTAGCTCCGAACAGAGAAGAAACCAGCTCCCATCCGAAAAAGGGAATAGAAGACTTCCCCGAGAGCAGTGGTACAAGAAGTAATTATAACAGTGAAGTAGTGGATTATAATTATACTCGTGAGTGTATGAACGCATGTGTGCAATAAAGATTCGCTAAATCCGAGACCCACGTGAAGTTATTTGTCAGGTGACATACCCAACACGTGACAATATGAACCCTCGCCCAGCGGGGGGGATGCGTCCTTCCGCACCGGACGAACTTAATAAGGAAACCAGCGACGCCCAGTACTTGCAGTCTGACGTTTGCTGACTAAAACGGGAAAAGCTCGTTGTACAGTTACATATGGGAAATCTAAACTCTCTGAAGTTTTGAAAGAGTAGCGGTGTTTTTCTTCTCAGTGCTGCTAAGGTCGTTGGCATACCGTGTAATCGAATTTTCTGCCTTCGACAAAAATTTGTTCGCTTTCATTCTCACGCGTATAATCGAATCAGCGATGGAGGAGGTGTTGATGTATGTAATTACCTCGAAAGCCGTAAGACTTAAGAAAAAGTTTCATTTTTTTCTCAGCAACTTCCGTAGGAAACAGTTTTATCTCCGATAAATATTAACGAGTTAGGCTCGAGATGCGTATAGAAACGCATGTAGGGTTTCATACTATGACCAATATGACCATTGCTAGACAACGGTTTTGTAAATGCTTTCCCGAGGTTACGCAGTCAACAGCGGAAGGGCTTCCGTTGCTCGGTAGCAAGTCGCTAGGCACGTTTCATAGTAGCGGAAAGAACACAGATAATAACAGGTAGTGTTCTCTCTTCGGTTCGCCCCTAGTTATAAAAGAGAGTTCATTCGTGAGTTCATTCGGATTCATTCGTAAGAGTAGTTGAGTGTTCAGCTGTGGAGTGTTAACCAGCGGACAACGGAAGCTGAAGAAGTGACCGACACGTAAATCAGAACCAAGTCAGTCACTCAGAAGAGAAGACACTCGTAGTGCAGTCAGGAATGGAGCGAGTCTTAGGCAGTCATTGATTGTGAGCTGTTATAAGTGATTGTAATTGTAAAGAAGTGCCAATAAATCCACTCCTCCAATACAGAACCAATCATTTTTAGTCACGGAACCCAGAATACGTGCCAATATGAAGTGTCCGTTATATTATCCGATTATAACCAGAATTTGAATATATGAAAATACACCTAGCTATTCACTGATCAGCAAATGCTGAAGTGTACATAACGAAGGTAGTGCACGACTTTTCTTTAGGAACCAGCTAAGGCTGTAAGAAACGGTTATGCACGATATTCATAAGGGTTGTGAACTGCCCCTTTAACAACGTCGTCGTGGATGGGAATTTTTGCCAAAATTTCATTAAGTGATGTTTAGTTAAGTTCAACTTTAAAGTTACTTTGAAGAGCGTTTACTCTGTAAACATTCCTGCACGCCTGATTCCCGTTGCTAGTCGAAAGGGACCGTTCATAGAAATCCCTCCGTGGCGTCTCTGATACAGGATAAGAAAACTCGCATGTCACAGTCAGAGTTACGTTATGACCGACGGTCAGTCGGCAAGCCTGTCCTGGTGCAACCCCTCCTTCCCATCTGGGGTAAAAGACCAGGTACTTGTTACTGTTAGACAGCTGCGGTTTTATTGATGTGAGACGCCCTCTCTGGCGAGAGGATGCGTCTGTCGTTTGCAGTTGCTCCTGGACATCGCCAGGGCCGCCATACATGGGTCTGAGTCCCACGGGGCTCATGATTATATTTTACTGCCTCAGATTCGAGACTCCCCCAACCTGGAGGGCCAGGTCCCCGTATTTATATCCAACAGGAACAGGGTTGCACAGTTATGTCCTCAGGAACTGGGTTCCCTTTTCGTCGCCTCCCATGACTCATAGGGCTATGGTGGAGGTATTCGAACCCGCCTCCACGCGGACCTAAGACAACCGAGTCAGAGTTAAAATTACTTTACGACTGGCGGTTTACCACCAATCAGTTCATCTCGGCGCCAAGCCCCTTGAAACTAGTGATCAGTATTTCTTTTTCAACTGAACACTGCGGTCATAGTCCTTATGTAAAACCCTCCCTGGCGAGAGGATGGGTCTGTCGTTTGTAATTGCTGCTGGCCCTCACTAGTGGAGGACCAGGTCCCCGTAATTTTATCCCCCCAAAACGGGATGGTCCAATTATAACCCCAGACAATATATGACACAAACTCCGCCCTAAGTGTAACAATTTATTGTAGTTTTTTTCGTTTTCCTTTCTTCTACACTACATGTTTCGGCCGCAAATGGCCATCATCAGCTGTATACTCTCACGTAGCTGCTACACTGCACGTAGTTTAAAATTTAAACAACGCTAGTCTTCCCAATTGTTCATTTCTCCGTTGCTAACAGGTTTCGATATATGAGAATCCTCC